TATATATATATATATATATATATGTAAAGAAAAATTAGTATTAACTTAGAAAACATATAATATTTTTGAAAAACAAGTTGTATATGCTGGATGGAACCCTAAAACAGAAAGATATGAAGATATCAAATAAATATAAAAGAATAGTATAAAAACCAGTCAAAAATGATGGGAAAATCATTGTTGAATGATTAACAAAAATTATAAAATTTAACTAAACCAAATTAATCTGTACCTCCAAATTGTATGCAGAAAAATGAAACATTATAAGGTGTACACTCTGAAAGAGACTTAAATAGCACTCTTGAGTCTTTTCACTCTCTTCTAGGTCAGGAAGAAGAAAAGACAAAGGGAATAAGCTTTCTATAGTTAGTGATTTGTTGGTTAGTGCTAAGCACAAAGCTACACAATGAGCTATGTGTGTTTTGCCAACCACAAGTACCCAAATTCAGATTTTAATGTTATAAGCCTTCAGATTTACTGCTGCACAACTGGAGGGTGCAAAAATATAAAAGAGCTTATGCTAATATATCTTCCTGTTTAACATTAACATGGACATACATATTTTATATCACAACTAAAAAAATTAACTACAGTCATCTTGTACTATCTAACCTACACAAGGATCTCCACTTAAATCAATTCCAACCATGGCATCACTGGATAACATAAACTCTTTGGCTAAGTGAACAGTTTCCTCAGCCACTGCCAGCGGGTTTCGGCGATCTATAGATAACAAGAATTTGACTATAATATCCAAACCAAGTTCCTGACTCTTGTTAATGGCAGCCAAAACCGTTTCAACGTAGCTCCTTCGTGACATCTGCCCAGCAACTTCTCGTGGTGTACTGCGTAACTCCAGATAATGGACATTATCTTGGGCAAACTCTTGAATGACATCACATGTTGCCTACATATAAAAAACTACACTGAATAGTTTTTATATCATCAAGATTTATAATATTGTTTGTTGATCAAATTATGCATGTACATATTACTACACATACAAAACTAGTGGCATCTGTGGTTAAATGTAAAAAAGTTTTAATATCCTAACAACCAAAGAATTACCTATCCAACTTATCATTTTATTATCACAAACAAAATTCAAAGTTCCATTTTTAATCAGTGACAGCTGGTGACATTTTTGTTAACCAACTGAACTCAACTTCTCTGCACTGCCTGTTTTTCTCTTCCTCGTTAGGCAATTTATAATTTGTCTAACCAAGCTCTCCAGTTGGCATGGCAAAATAGTTTTCTGGTGAGGTAGTGCTCTGTCTTTGAATGAACTTACTGTTTGCTCAATCCTTAAACAAAAATATTGAAGATTGAAGGATTGAAGATTTAGTAGCATTCATGGTCTATTACAACTAAAACATATTTAATGATAAAAAAACAGTTGATTTCACTGTTTTGATTAGGGACATAGAAATTCTCATGTACATTAGGCAGTGCCTCGCTTGCATCACCTGAGGAGTTACCACTGTTTTTAATACTTTTTACCTGGGTTTTTGTCACTCAAGAAAGCTCTTTATCTTTGTAATGATGCATAACATTGAGCAATAGAATAATGATAAGATATTAAACAATTCTGTTTCTCTTTTTTTGCTTTCTCCATTTTTTTTCAGATGTTGCTTCAATTGGCTACTTTACAATAAAAATTCTACTGTCATTGCAACAGAAGTAAGATTAAATTGGTTTCTTAATCTACAATGTGAAGATATTATTCTTAATTACAAGCATAATAAACATAATAAAGCATAACTTATTAGTCTAATAACATTTATAAATGACACAAAAGGAAGACAAGTTGAACATTTAAATAGCGAAAATAAATTATGATTTAGGTAAAGTTATCTTTGATCATTCTGTTTTTTTTTGCTCAAGTAATCCTAAATCTCTATAAGGCTATCTTAACATAATTGCCATTCTTCAAATGTATGACTGAAAATTGTGTCTGCTAGTTTCAAGAGAATTCTTGCAGCTAAATCCTGATTTTTTACCAACCAAACAAACTTAGGTAAAAAGTGGGTCATATTTTCAAATCCTCAGTGATGTCACATAATGCATATAAGTATTTATTTTTTGAATTTTTGCATAAAGTTACTCAAGGGCTATCTGCACTAACCATCCCTAATTTTGAAGTGATAGATGATAAAACTAGAATAAAAACAGCTAGTTAACACCACTCACTGCCAGATATTGAACTACTCTTTTAAAAAAATGAATCACGGAATTGACCATAACATTATAACATCCCCATGGCTGAAAACAAAAGCATATTCGGTGACAGCTTTCAATCCCATGACCTGTATATTGCAGGTTGAGCACCTTAAACACCAAATGCATGTAAATGAAACATGTTATTAATTTTGGGGAATAACAAACATTATTTACATTACACATTTCTTGAATTCTCCAGAACCAAAATGTTTATAAAATGTACCATCAACTTATCATTTTATCTACATTATATTTTTAAATAATTTATATATATATGTGCAAGAGGAAAAACACATACTCATGTATTTATTTATAGATATATAGTAGCATGCAAGTTTGTTAGAACACCTCAACATTTATCAGTTTATGTGCTTTAAACACAAAATAATCATTGATTTGCTACATAAATAAACATGTAATTATTCCTTAAAGAAGTAGCACAAAATTAATATATAAATAATACTTAAGTTTCTTTGATGCTAATATTTAGTGAGACTACTTTTGGCATGTTTATGGCTTTGTGTCTATGTATTTTCTCAAAGCCACCAATAAACTTCTATTCCATTTTTCTTGAAGCTGTGTCCAGAGGTTTTATTTAGTACAATTGGTACTTTCATCAAAGATGGAGTCCAGCAAATCCCAGGTTTGTTTTATGGGATTAAGGTCTGGATTTTATGGTGACAGTTGCAATTGCTGGAGATCTTTTGGGCTCCCTTTATTTATCAAAGTAGCGAAAGTACTCGGCTTTGCAGGGGTTATTAGGTTGATATATCTTAGAAAGTGCATAAAATTTATCATGAAAGTAAAAATATCGATCCAATTTTAAACATTAACTGTTTCTGAATTAAGGTATTTTCTGTTATATCACCAATGTTTTTAATAAAAAAACAAACCTTTTGAATCAATGGAGACTCTAAATTAAGAAACCAACAAATATTCCAGTTTCGTTGTTCATACATTTAATTTTATACTTTCAGTACATAGACTAACAACAATA